TAATTATATTGTTCAATATAAATACATGGAGGGTCCTATGTATCGGGCCATAAATTACTTAGCTTACATATTGTCTTATATGAATAGTCACCAATGTGTATATGCTGCAGACAAGTACCAATTTTACCTGGTAAATACATTTATATAAATTACACCTTTTACCTTTTCACCTGTTAAATACACACTATACCTACAATGTTTACAAATGACTTCCTCGATGAAGGAATATTACATTATGAATTGTGTGAAAAACCAAAATTTGTAACATTTATAATTAACATAATAATCGACACTGTGTATATTACCGTATTTAGTATAAAGTAACTACTACTACCACCCTACCTAAACGTATTGCTGATAACCGTGTCCACTGAGACCAACAAAAAATAATTGTTCAAAGTACACACCTAGGTATTTCTAACATTGATTCCCTACAAATTTGATCCAATATTGGCTATAGAAAATTTTAAGATAGCATTCACCAATCTATTTGTTATAATCATATTTTGTTTATTTATTTTCGAATCCCATTACACTGAGATCTTTTGATGTACAAAGTACTTTTAGTGTTTTATTTTTTATGTTTATTTTTAATAGGTTTTTAGTCAAAGTATAATAATTATAGGAACAATGGTTTTCTTAAGAACTTTGTTATTTTAGAACTTGTTATTTTTTGTTTGAACTATCAATTGATTTTAGGTTTTAGTAGTTTTTGTTACCGTGTGTGATTAATTTATATCTTTATTACATTTTTGGATGAATATCCTCACGACCTGACTGGTGTTAAGTGGTTACTGATCCTGACGATGCTAAAATGTGAAAGCCATAACCCTCTTAATTATCTCAACCTTTAAGCCACAATGCATGACTGCTCCGAATAAATCATACCAACGACAGTGCTATATACCCATACAGGCTTATAGTACAGTCTACCGCCAGTAGATAATGAAGACTTTTGCTTATAAAGACTGACTACTTCAATTGAGCTGTTATGGAGTAATAATGAATTGGTGATTGAAATATTATAAGGACATTGAGCTAGTGCAATTTCATGCTCAATAAATAATATGAGATTAAACTAAATTTTTTTGGCATGAATTGAACATAATTCATATTTATGATAACTCTTATCATTACATTTGTATTCAAATATACTATTACAGATATCATTATTCTGCTTCGTGCTTAGTTTCAATTGTATTACTAGCTTAATAATTATAATCTGTGTTCGTGAAAATAAAAAACATTTTAAGTTCACTAATTATTAATCAAGTATTCAAATAATTAAAATTTAATAAAGTGTAATTTGTATTTGCCATCGTATGATGGACAGTCTCTGATTATGGAGTAAATTTTTTAAATTTTAATGCATAATCTACTAGGGTTTCTCTAATTATTCAAACTGTGTACATAATGTGTAACCTTGAGAGAAAACCTGTTCTTTAGGTACGTTTCTGTACATTTATAGATTTTAAACGTATTTTAATGATATTTTTTTGTGTATTTTGTTTGGTAATAAGCTGATATAACCATCACAGTGGATAAGCCAGATGTGTCTTGTTAAATGGTAATACGAAACTTCCAAAATTTTATATGGCATTGACCGTTACTTAAACGAGTTTAACAACAAAAAATAGGCAATATACTTACGTAAGCACCTTCAAATAACACACGGAACACAAACATCACAGTTTTAATTGATTTTAGCTCACTATCGAATATTTTATTACTGCAGACGCGCACTTAAAATTTAATATGTATTTTATTTATAATACAGTGTTGTGTTGCGAATACATTGCGAGGAAGAGTCAGAAAAAAATATTGCGTGCGTAAATTAATTTAGAAGGAAACCCGCGAGAATGAAATACCATTTTGAAAGATTGAAGTAAAGATCGTCAAGGATTTTTCCCCTTCTTGTATCTTGGCACCTTGCGTCATCCCATAGATTATACACTTAATATATACGAGATAGATGCGCAACTCTCATTTTTATTTTTGCTTTAGTTAAAGCCCGGTCCAGCAGGCGTCGCTACGGTCGATTATTAGTCTCCCTACCCCCCACCAGGTGGCTTTTTTAGTAATTTTAATATTTTTAATAACTCTCTTTATGAAAAAATCTTATCGTTTAGAATCGCTGAAATTCCCNAAAAGAGAGAATTCCCTAAAAGTGGAAGCACTGCTTCAAAGTACGCTAACCTTTTTTATTGAGTCAGAACTCGTATCTGCCATCTAGTGAGTTTATTAGTTCATTAAGGCCAAAACGTTTCAAAAATGACCTCGCCGGTTCCTAAAGATGACGCTAGTTGAATGTTCTTTTCCTTTGTATGGGAGTTGCACCCCCCTGCGTCATCCGTTGCGGCATTTTGACATTTACTCGTTACATACTGACTTTGACAACCATTAATTTGACATTTGTTTTTTTTATTCCATATTATAGCTCAAGCGAATAGAGTCATAGACCTAATAGAGTCCACAGCTTAGAGTATACATTAGCTTGCTTATGTATACTCTAAGGTCTACAGTTTTTCTTTTGCCAATTGCCGTACTCCAATAAATTAACATGCTTTTTTTGGACACACTACATGAGTGTAATCGATGGATGTTGTATTATTGAATGTTTATTTATTTATTTAGACACACCAACAGCAATACACACAAAACATTCAAGCTTAAAATTAACATGTATAAAGTTAAGTACTGGTATGTAAGCTAGTTACAGGCATGTACAGCAATCTCTTAGAACACACTATGACATGTTACAGCAATTCTACAAACAGCGAAAAAATAGGTTAAATTTAAATGTTAACAGTACGACATAAAAAAAACTTGAATGTTGTGAATGTTGATGAATGAATGGTGATAGTATCTTGTACTCAATATTATCGGATCAGTTGATATAGTCCAAATCTTGGTCCAAAACTTCAAAAATGTCGTGCAAAACCTCTGTCTCTATTAAAACAAGTCACCTGACAAGTTCCACACAAAAATTCTAGAGTTGGGTAAAATTTAATATTGTAAATAGTCATGTAAATACTCATAATACATAATTTAGTATTTATTATTTCATTTTTTTAATAGCACTCCTTTTACTTTTTGAGACATATCGAACATATGGTCTAAAAGAATCGTTTCAGAATCAGACCCAGTAATAAAAAACCTTAATTTCAAGAGGAAATAAGATTAATTCACTATACATACTCTATTCCAATTACAAAGTCCCATGAGACATATTATTATGTTATGTTATTGTGTGTGTGAATTAATTGTATAAAGATTTAGATTGATTGTATATTTTTTAAATGATGTTTACGACAATGAACAAAAAATGATATTATTTCGAATTATGCGAAATGTGAAGAGTTAAGTTATAAGAAGTGTCAAAAAGAACTTCGTAATTGGAATAGAGTACAGGTTATAACAATAATAATGGTGGCCCAAATGCAAAAAGCAGTCTTTGCTGGACAATGCCCGTATAGTTCGCCAGTTTCTCACCCAATAGCCCCTAACGCTCCGGCCGATTATTGCCCACTTCGCCGGAGTGTTTCCTGCCGTCTTCTCAGGCGAGGCAGTGTTCAATACACATAATAATAATAATTACATTTATTTACTCCACAATACAAATAATATGTGCTACATAATTTATTTTATTTATTGAGTTCAAAATTTCCAACCCCATGCCATGTAGCGCGAAGGTATTTGCTGTTCACTTCACGCCGCGTATCCCTCGATTCCACGCGTTTGCTAGTGCTTATGAAAGGTTTTTTTTTGGAACGATTTTTTTTAACGCATTTGCGGTAGATGTTGCCTGAATTAAATGCCACGTAATGTAATGTAATTGGTTAGAGATTTAAACAGAAGCAAATAAAGCCTTAAAATGTCTTTAGTTAAGTACTGAATTCCACTGCAGAAATTTCCACAAACTTATATAAATATAAACCTCGAACGAAAGAACCGAAACCGCTGCTTGTTATAAAAGTCATTGCGTAATGGAATCACATTTTGTTTGTGGTTAGGAAGTATGCTATTATTATTATTACTATTCTCGCAACAGGGGTTTTAAAGACGTTTGATATTAACATTTTTAATTTTGCAAAAAAGCCTTTAATCAAGTTAGGTACGAGTGGTTATAGTTTCAAATATTATGTGTATTATGTATGAAAGCCGGTGCCTTGAGGTTTCGTGCGGAACAGAGATAACGCTCTACTCAATATAACAGATAGAAACATAGTGAACGGAGCTGGGTTGAAAAGTTTAATAATTTTCGTGACTAGGATTTAAAAAAAAATTCAGTATTGAAAATCACAACTATTTATTTTTATTACTATTTACGTAGGAAGCGTTTCTTTTCTTCTTAATTTAATATCCTACTCATGGCACTATTTTTTAAATCTTTTCCACTTGCTACTCTCATCTCATTTCATTTAATTTCATCCCAGTTGATTAATGTCTCCAATTAATCATCATTTCATATCAGTCCATATTATAATTTTTTCATAAAAATTAGAAATGACTTAAAAGTCTTAGTTACCAGGTCATTAAATCCCTTTAAAAAATCCACTTGCTACTGTGGCGCCAACTTAATTGGCTCCCTTTCAGCGGACTCTTACACTGAGACGATACTCCTTACTTTTGCCCTCCATACGCTTCTTCTTTAGTATTCTTCTTATAGTATTTTCAAATAAAACACAATAGAGCTTATGACAAATTTTAATCAAAAGTAAGTTTATGAGTATTAATTACATAGATTAAACGCAACTGGTATGTTGCCAATTTATTACATATTACCCGCGTATTCGGTCAAAATATATTTTATAGTTAGGTACATTTTTAGAGTTGATTAATTAGTAGTCGATCAGTGTTACATTTCCGGGCGGGTCACAAAAGCCCCTACTGCCAGTAGTCACATGAGCCTATAAAGCTTTCGTGTAATTTATTCCTTCAACGTCATATAGGTAACGGTGAAAGAATAATGGTGAGAAAATTATGTCTGCTTGCAGGATTTGAACCTTGACTCGGTCGCATCACTTGTGACGAGTGCCCCGGGCGTATGAATAAATCCAGGACGAATTCTAAATCTCTGTACACTAAAATATCACAGTTTAAGTGTACACTAAAATATCGTCACCATCATTGATTTTAGTAATCGTCCGCCAGTAAACATTGGCCTCTATCAGTCCTTTTGCCCCCAAGTAGTAAGGATATCCCTTAGTAGTCGATAAATAAAATATGCCCAGCTTACTCTTGTCCGGACTCAAACCCATTGTATTAGTGACGAGAGGCTTGTTGTTATAACACTGAGCGTCCCTCGCTTGCTGCACACTATCGCACTTCATACCTATAAATTTACCGGGATTCTTTAGGGCGGCAACCCAAAGCGCGAGCACCCTGAAATGGCTGCAAGTTGTCGTACAAGGGTACAGGTTGATGTCTGAGGGTTGGTACTCCCCGCCGTTGACGTAGAAGTCGACGTGACCCATTCTGTTGGCCATACCGTACCCGTCTATGTTCGTGTGCACGACTTGCACGAAGCCAGCGTCTGACGGGTTGAGTCTTTCGTCCGAAACCAATGTCCTAAAACACGGGCCGGAAGGTTCTAGAGCGACGATAGACGATACGTTCCTTCCTGTTATGGTCTGGAAGTTTTTGGCTATGTAGCTGACCGTTTGGGCGCCCAGACTGAATCCTAATAATTCTAGTTTGGAAGGATCTAGGCCGTAGTCAGTGAGTTGAACTAGGACTTCGGCTACAAGCTTACCCACTGGTCTCATGAGGCGGCTCGCTCTGGAAAGGAGAGTTTTTTTTTTACATATAATGCATTAGCGCCATGATGGAATTATCTTAATTATTAGAGCGTATTATATGCCCGCCCGGCTATTTGCTTGGCAATATTTTTTTGCTTATAGCCCTTGTAGGCAGACGAGCATACGGCCCACCTGGTGGTGAGTGGTTACCATTGCCCATGGACGTTAAAAATGCCAGGGGCAGAGCCAAGCCACCACAGTAGATGGGCTCTGGTAACAACTTAACATCAGGCTGGCCGTGAGATCGTCCACCTAAGTAAGCAATATAAAAAAACGAAATAGAACATCTTCTAGAAGTATAATCTTTGTTGTTGTTGTATGAGTACTCGCAAATATCATTGTTGGCTGGCTAACAACAGCAACATTGTCAGAAGAACCCGTCCTTTTTTTATTGTCCTTATCGGCAGACGATCATGCGGCCCACTTGATGGTGATTGGTTTCCATTGCTTCGGAACGTCAGCGTTACAAGAAGACAGCAGAATCGTGAAACTGTAAAAATTAACTCACAAATGGTAATGCACAGTCGAAAACCTCTGGTTGTCAATAATTATGACATTGTACCCTAGAGCTTCATATTCGTTCGCGAACATCATTGAAATGGGGAAACTGGGGCTGTCGAGATACCCAATGGCCAGGAGGAGGGTTTTCCTGAAATTTAAAATGTTTTTAAGTTAGTATCTTGTGCGGTTTTCACAAATCGTAAAAACATATCCATATTTACGGTTTAATTTAGCGTTTTTTATAGTCAGTTATTTCCGATGTTTCGAATAGTTTACAAACTGCCAAGCTTCAATTTATTATTAGTGCGTTTTGCGTGAAGAGAAACGTAAAAGTCTATAATTATTTTTATGGCAAAATAGACGGTAGCTATCACAATATTCAAATTTCGACAAATAACACCTTAGTCGTTTATCATCATCATTATCATCAGCCCACAGTCGTCCACTGCTGGACATAGACCTCTCCCAATCCACAACACTGACCACCACAGCTCGGTCTTTGGCTCTGCCCCTCCATCTCTTGCCGACCACTCTTCGAAGGTCATCGCACCACCTAGTCATCTATGAAGATTTCGAAATATTGTATTAAATATATTGACAGTAAAAAGACGAGATTAGGCCGTAAGCCATAAGCAGTTCTAATTGTATTTTAATGACAGGGGATCGGTGCGTTTTGAATCTGCCCCTATAATTGCTGATGTCCATGACCGATCTCTTATAATTATGTAGATAGATTGTAGCCTCGTCTGCCTGCGGATACTACAAAAAACAGTTGCCAAAAAGCTGAACGGTCGAAGATTAAGTAAATTTCGTAGATGCTAATTCTATTAATATTCCATGTGGTGTATGGAACAATTATCTAAACACACGTCATTACGGATCCTCGTGATCCATTAACGGTGCTTTTAGGTACTACAAGCACGGATCACCGTCCTCGTCAAACCGGTCGCTTGCGACGAAGGTCTCGACGAGCGAATTAGCCCACAGATACAGCCCACTGAGTTTCTGGCCGGATCTTCTCAGTGGGTCGCGTTTCCGATCCGGTGGTAGATTCTGGGAAGCACTGCTCTTGCTAGGGCCAGTGGAGGCACCACCCCGGTTTGAACCCCGTGAGCTCACCTACATGCTAGGGCGAAGCTGATATAGCCTCTCGAGGCTATCAGCATAGGTAGGAAAATATATTCTAAGCATCAGTTTTCATGGACCTCTTAAATGCTATTCGATAAATTTATAAATCTTTAATTGTTAACAGCAGCTCTATACCTTTTAAAATTGATTCTCGGATCCTTGGCTATATTCCTAGCGTTCCAATATGAGTACTTGCGCCGGCTTCTCCCGTTCCCCTGCACCACGAAGGACAGGTACTTCAGCTGGCTCTTCGGTATGATTGCAGGCTTCGTGGAGCCGGGACCTGGAGTCAAAAGCTGTATTGGATATTTTATGGTGTTGGTATAAAATGCGTTTTAGATATATACTAGCTTTTGCCCGCGACTTCGTCCGCGTGGAATAGTTAGTTTGGCATAACGCTAAATTTTACCCGCCTCTTCATTTACGTAGAATCTAATATCATCTTTATAAAAACACTTTCACAAATAAAGTTTTATTTTAGAACAAATTTGTTTAGCATAAAAAGCGTTATAGAGAGCCAACCTTAACATATAGACATATTATGCTGTCGCGGACTTTTTTTAGATCTTTTAAAGGGGAGCAATTCTCTCCTTCATTTTTTAGCGAAACTTTATCAGTTTCCGCAGCGTAAGCAGTGGAAGTTTTCAAAAGGGAAAAATCCCTGATTTTGAAACATTCTTTATTGGTGCTCCGCTTGCATTGGTCTTAGGGTGATGTTATAGCCTATAGCCTTCTTCGATAAATAGTCTATCTAATGCAGTGCTGCTATTCACATCTATTTTGTTGATGAGATAGTTCTAATACGACATCACACAGCAGAAGCATGAAGAAGAAACAGCGGAAGCAAAAAAAAACTCGTTAAAATCTAAGTTGCCGCATTATCTAATTTCTGCATGCTTGGATACGTCTATCCCCACTATGTGAAGTAGGAAAACACTTTAGTTATACAGTAGGTGTTTCGTCACAATTCGGATCTGACCAATGAAGCGGTATGATCACGATTCATTAAGCTCATCGTAATCAGATCACGGAATCACTCCGACCGTAATGAGTTAAGATCAGAAAACACAAATGACGCAATGATTTCGCGTGCGCAATGCACTAGTATAATAATCGTGACCAACGAATTTTAACGAAATGCTCTTGTTAGTGTGAGGAAATATATCTTGAGGAATTCAAGTGAGACTTTTATAGACGACTTTTTTACTGGTGGTAGGACCTCTTGTGAATCCGCACGGGTAGGTACCACCGCCCCGCCTATTTCTGCCGTGAAGCAGTAATGCGTTTCGGTTTGAAGGATGGGGCAGCCGTTGTAACTATACTGAGACCTTAGAACTTCTATCTCAAGGTGTGTGGCGCATTTACGTTGTAGATGTCTATGGGTTCCAGTAACCACTTAACACCAGGTGGGCTGTGAGCTCGTCCACACATCTAGGCAATAAAAATTAAAAAAAGGTCTTATGAAATAATAAAATTTTGAAGTTATATTATCTTGGCGAGTCATAGTTTACACGTGTATTTTTTATAATTATTTTATTAATTAGAAATTTTCTTTAGTTTATTACAATTAAGAATAGTTTCAGGATGACAAATGAAGAAGTGTGGTAATTTTTTAAGACATGATGTGTAGATATCTTAATTTTGTCATGTTTGGAAAAGAACAATTTCTTATTTATGAAAATATAATTAGTTGTAGTAATTAAACTAAGCGCGCTAGCTAACAATAAATAATTAAAATAATAATTTAAAATTCTCATTCTCGTCATGATTTCACGAAATTTTAGACTTGTATCTTTGGAACTAAAGTAATTATTTTTTTTGCAATCATATATGTTTGGTATAGTGTTACACAACTTTTTGTTGAAATCACTACATAGTATAAAACAAAGTCGCTTTCTCTGTCCCTATATCTGTCTGTCCCTATGTATGCTTAAATCTTTAAAACATCGCAACAGATTTTGATGCTGTTTTTTTTAATAGATAGATTGATTGAAGCGGAAGGTTTATATGTATAATAACATCCATTAAATAGTGGAGAAATCAATAATAAATTACAGTTTCCTAAGCGAAGCGAGGGCTGGTCACTAGTAAGATATAAAACACGTAATATGTGACGTGCACCAACGCTATATTTTTCTCTACATTTTTTCTTCATAAAAACCTTTTTCTAACAAGCATTTCCTTCTAAAAAGGCACTTAAATGTCCCATAGTAATAATTCTATTACGTGAAAGTGGAATACACCATATTTGCGGAAATGTTTTCCGGTCACTTGTTCGTTGCTCAGACTGATATATATGTAGGTAACACGTGCTGTTGGATAGCGGAAAGTTCTGGAAAATATTGCAAAGAAGTTAGTTCTTCTTGGTATTAATGGCCGTAATCTTTTTAAATTCGAATTTCCGCAATCCTTTTCTTTCTTTTGAATTATGATCTATTGTTGTTTTGTTTTAGCCTCGTTTCGACTTTGTTCAACGTAGTCAGTGGCTCTCAACATGTGCACTTTTAGAGATTTTTATAANGGAGCCAATCAGGCGCATAACGCATTTCGTGTGACATGCTAGTACGATTTTGATTGGCGCGCGCACGCATCACGCAATCAGGAGCCAATCAGGCGCATAACGCATTTCGTGTGACATGCTAGTACGATTTTGGTCCCCATAATTTTCATACCCCGGGCCTATATATGTAAATCGATTCTAAAGGAGTAAACTCCAAATATTAGTCATTTACAATTTAGAAATCTAAACATAATGTGACTGTCAACACTGAGGTTTGAGATTGACATTTGACAAACTTTTGGCGGGAACATAATATCTTCCTTTTTCCCTTCGTCTACGTCTCGAAAAACTAAAGTTTTAGATTTGTATCAATATAAGCAAGACTTATAAATTAGTTCGCCAAAAAAGTTTCACTTCTGACATATGTACTTTGTACGCACGCACTTTTTTTAATTAAAAACACCGAACTAATGTTGTTGATAATACCAAAAAAACACACCTTTAATTCTTCTTTGTTTCCATCTTATCCCACTAGGTGGGGCAGCACAGCGAATTTTTCTATTCCATTCTCTCCTACCAGCCGTTATCTCAACACTCACTCCTATCTCTCTTAAATCATGGTTCACATACTCCATCTCTGTCTTCTTCGGTCGACCTCTTCCCCCTCTACCTTGCACTACCATTTCGGTACATCTCCTAGTCACATGCATCTCCTCTCTACGCATCACATGTCCATACCACGCTAACCATAAAACGCATCTTTAATTACAAGGATAAATATCATGTATCAAGCGAAATGTCGCTTAACCCAAATAGCATTTCATCCTTCGATATGGTTCATGGGAGGTGCTGGAAGGATTTACTGAACCGTATTCCCGACAACTCGTATTTACGATCGCACCAATCGCATCCACTGAACCCACTCCGGGTCATTCAGGTCAATAATTTGAATTGGAAGTCGTCGTGGCCTAAAGGATAAGACGTCCGGTGCATTCGTGTTGAGCGATGCACCGGTGCTCGAATCTCAGGCGGGTACCAATTTTTGTAATGAAATACGCATTCAACAAATGAACGAATGAATGAATGGGAAAATCAGAGAGTAATTGGTGATGCTATGGAGGAATTATATCTGTAGGCATGCTATAATTAAATGTTTTCAATTTGTACTAAAACTGATTTGACGTACCCGACCTTGTTTCATGGTACATGTGTTGCGCCATCTAACAATCTAATTGTGGCTTGTCGAAATATTAAGGTATTCAAATGCCATATTTTTATAGTTAGCTTGGCAAATGTTTATTATTTTTTATTGAAGTTAAGGTAGTCTAATTTTGTTCCGGATCCTCCTGATCCATTAACGGTGCTTTTAGGTACCACAAGCACCGGTCACCGCTCACCCGCAAGCGACGGGCTCGACGAGCGAATTAACCCACAGACACAGCCCACTGAGTTTCTGGCCGGATCTTCTCAGTGGGTCGCGTTTCCGATCCGGTGGTAGATTCTGCGAAGCACTGCTCTTGCTAGGGCCAGTGCTAGCAACACACCCGGTTTGAGCCCCGTGAGCTCACCTATACGTCAAGGAGAAGCTGATGATATAGCCTTTCAAGGCTATCAGAATAGGTAGGAAAAAAAAGAAAACCCTTCCCGGAATAATAACTATAGAGTGGTTCAATTTTATCGGATATTCTAATAAAATTTATGAATTTTAACCAAAAAAAAGGAATATAAATTTGGATTTGGTCAACATGTAGATATGCAGACATTACATATTGGTATAATAAATAATCATTAGTATATGTAGATAGATATATATCGGTCTTATTCGTGAGAGTCCTCGATACATAAATGGTCGGTGTCTGCATTAGGAGCATTATTTCGACTCTAAGCTCGAAAAATGAACTTATCAAACTCAAGTAGAACACAATCTGATTCACACACAACAACGATTCAAGATCGAATGTTGTAAACAAACATTATCATTATTCTTGCCTTGTTTTTGTTTTAGCGAAACATTTGGCAAGGAAAATCCTTGAATTAAACTGTCTTTTAAAAAAACATTTCATCTGGGTTTTTTTTCGTATGTGAAAGACGTGGTAAATAATGCTCCTTTTGAATACGCTTTTATTAGCTTCAGACGTATGTATGTTAGTATGTATGTAACCTCTAGACGAATTATCTTAAAAGAAGTTAATTTGTTATAAAGATGAGATATGTATATGAAAATTTGAATATTGAAAGATTAGAAAGAACATAAGAAATATAAAAGCATTTTGAAATATTGAAATATAATAAAGATAAAAATAGTGGTGAAGCAATAGCTTTAAATGTTGTTTCTCTTTATAAGAGCAACTCAATTTGTGCTATAGTTTTATAAGCTAAACTGTATTTTGATGTAAATAAATGTATGTAACGGAATCTTTGAACATGATTTTGACCCCCTTCAAAACGTCGGATTAACTCAAAATTTGGCATACTTATTAAGGACCGATGACAATTTAATATTAAAAAAAAAATTGAAAAAATTTAAATTCAAAAAATGAAAAATAAATATTGTTTAAAAAAAACTAAAAACGCTTTTATAGAAAATCCAACTAAAATATAGAACATAAATTTTAATTAAAAATAGTATAAGTAAAAATGATTTTATTGTAAAAAGTTATTTAATATTTCTATAAAGCGTTTTTTTTTAAGTTTTTTTTAAATATTATTTTTGTACAGATTATACATGTTTTTTTTTGCACGGGGATACAGTCGCGCGCTTTTCGCGTCGAGCGGAATTTGGTGAATTAAAAACGAACTAAAACCTTCAGTCACTGACCAACCCGCGTCCGACTTGCCATCAGAGACTTTGTATCTGATGGCAAGTCGTATTGAACCTAAATTGTCTTGTGAGTCGGCGCGGGTAGATACCACGACACCGCCTTGTTGCCTGAGTGAATACACTGCTTGTAGTTAATTTCTTTGAAAAACGTTGTCAGCACTTTTGACAGCTTTTGAGACCGCAAAATTTACTACAAATTGTTTGAAGTATTCGGTGTATAGCTATTAACTACGTACGCCTAAAAGCGGAACAAACAGAGGGTAGACAGATCGATCTGTTCTTAACAACCTTCTCCTTGCTTGGCTCCGCTCATTACTGAGGGTCGTGACCCCCGCTGCTTCATTCTCTCATGTATTTTTTTTTTATTGCTTAGACGGGTGGACGAGCTCACAGTCCACCTGGTGTTAAGTGGTTACCGGAGCCCATAGACATCTAAAACGTAAATGCAGCCACCTATCTTGAGATATGAGTTCTAAGGTCTCAATATAGTTACAACAGGTGACCCACCCTTCAAGCCGAAACGTGCTTCACGGTAGAAATAGGCTGGGTGGTGGTACCTACCCGTACGGACTTACATGAGGTCCTACCACTAGTACCTAAGCTCCATACAAATTTGAGTTAACTTTAACACGATGTAGATGCGTATCAATAATAAAAAAGCAGTGGAAACATACAAACAGACATCATTCCCGTAGGATATCCAGTCTCACTCCTCGGATCCATGTTGGAAGATAAAGCCGAGACTAAAACGCAATAAATGTATAAAATTCTATACATTTCGTATAAATTTTCATTCACAAATAGGTAATTGAGGTCCAAAAACAAATATTGTTACACAAAACTATCACAATGCACGCACGAACCGCATTCAAAATGTATTATTTTTTTTTGCATTTGTATCCATAAGTGTTTCGGCATTAAGTTGATGTAATTGCACTGATCTTATTGAGTAATAATTGTTCATTTGTTAAGAGCTTCTAAACCGACACTAAATATTATTGATGATTTTTACGTGTAAAAGTCTTTAAGGTTTGTCGTCAATAATTAAATTTTATGTGTAGTTCCCGTAATAACAAAATGAATTTCACATTTACATTTTTAAACAATTAACTAATCCATATTATCATCATTCTCGCTAAATGCATTTTTTTCTCTCATTCATAACGAAATGAGAGCTTATTACGTGTTTATTTACGTAACAAAAGCGTTATAAAAAATTAAACAATTTCCCGCCACTTTTATCCGTAGGCAAACGCGTAAGCGACTGTGCGGCTTAATAGTAACTGACCTCGTTGAACACGGCAAAGGAAGTTGATATGTCTCACATGACAGTTTCCTTGACACTATACAATTCGTTCCTATTGAAAAAATCAGTGATGAAAATCAATATTTATATAAAATCCGAAAATATGATGTAGTCGTAGCCAATTGAACTTCAAGTGGGTCGTGACATTGTCATGTTTTTATTATGATGATGTGCAGAAGAGCTTGTGGACTCCACAAAGCGATTGGCGCTGCTCAATTTGAATCTAATCGATAACTCACTCGCTATGGTACAGCTAGACTGTTAGCAAATCCCACCCTTCCTGGCTGAGCCCTTGCTCGCCCATCTGCCCTGGTAAAACTGGAATGGCCTCGGGGCCACCAGTAATCTCTCAAATACAAAAAGGTACGGCTGGACTAGACGGCCGAGCTTTTTTTTTATTGCTTAAATGGGTGAACGAGCTCACAGCCCACCTGGTGTTAAATGGTTACTGGAGCCTATAGACATCTACAATGTAAATGCGCCACCCACCTTGAGATATATGTTCTAAGGTCTCAGTATAGTTACAACGGCTGCCCAGCCCTTCAAACCGAAACGCAACCTAAAGTAAAACACTTCTCGTAGAAATAGGTAGGCGTAAGGTACCCAAATATTATAGAATTTATAAAAATGGTTGGTTAGAAAGTTCTTAATAGAAAATATTCGGATCATTGTACTGGTTTTATCAATATGTGTTAACGCTTTTGTTAGTTGCTATGTTAGTGAAAATAACAAGCCCCACAAAAACTAATGCCATTTTTATTAATTACCATTGTTATTATCGACCATTTCAATATTCCTAATAAAAAATACAAATATTTACATTAGTCTACTTAATTATAAAAAGCATGATAGCATAATATGTTTCGAGAATTATTTTGGCTTCTGTTTAACATTCCGCCTTTAAACGTCGAAAACAAATACATATTTGTAAAACAATGGATACATTTTTGGCACATTCCATAGGTAATTAATTAATGCTATCGCTAAAATATCTACTGAATCCTTTTGTAAACAAAGGAAGATCGAACGTGAGCATTTATTGGTTAATCATGTTTTCATTAATTTAATGTCAGGGTTCGATGATGAGCTGGTTTGTGCAAAAAGCCTTTATTTATTATCTATAGAAGTGCAGTGCCACGTGATTTTTTTAAGTGTGGCTGTTAGTAACAAGCCGTTAATCTTTTTTTTTAAATGGCTGTCATCTGCCGCTATTAACACTGACAATTCCTACTTAAAACGCGAGCTTAATGATGATAATTGAAAGTGAACAAATTATGTCGATACGTTTAGTCTTTTTGGAACTTAAAAAAATTACGCAATTTTTTGAAATGGTCAGTAATCCCTAATTTTTATGTAGGCATTACCGACTTCAGTTCTGTTGCTATGGAGGTTTCGGATAGCAGAGTAAAAATAAGTAAAAAAAAAAACTTTTTATATTAAAAACGATTTTGCTCGCGATATCATACAAAGAAAACGAAAATCACTTTGTGTGTTTTTTAAATTATTATTATAGCTTATTCTAAAAGAATAAATGTGATTTTATTAATACATCTTCGGTTTCTATCTACACAAAATAAGTACCTAATTACTTGTCCGGACTAACTGATTGATTCGTAAACACTGAACCAAAGCCGCTAAAGTCAACTTGAAATTTTCACATTTAAGTCCTAAGGAGATAAAACCAGAGATCGGTAACATGGAAGAAATTAAAAAATAAATAAAAATAGTGTATGAAAAATTATTTTATTGTAAAAAAAGCGTGGGTTGCTTTTCAGGATACTATCAAAATAATCCTTCTACTCATATCTGCTCATAAAATATTTAAAACTACTAATACCATGCATCTCACGCTTTTTTTTACAATAAAATCATTTTTTCTTACACTATTTTTAATTCAAATTTATTTTCTATTTTTTAGTTGGATTTTCTATAAAAGCTTATAAAAGCGTATTTTGTTAGTTTTTTTAAACTATTATTTATTTTTCATTTTTTAGTTGAATTTCAATTGTTTCAAATTTTTTTTACAATTTTCTTTTTAGTATTGAATTGTCATCGGTCCTTAATAAGTATACCAAATTTCGAGTTAATCCGACGTTTTGAAGGGGGTCAAAATCATGTCAAAATTCCGTTACATACGTCTGAAGCATAGATAGGTTTCCTACTTCAGTGGTCTGAAGCTAATAAAAGCGTATTAGAAACAGTAATCCACATACAGTAAAATATTCCGATTCATCCGTGCAAAGCCGTGGCGCTAGTCTTTAAGTTTGATTGCAAGTTTCAAAATAAAAGAGCAACGTGCAACTTATGTGTGACGCAAAATTACAAACAAACTCTGGAGACTTAGAAGAAAAGTTAAAAAAATCTATGGCTTAGGATCAATGACCCTTAGTAGTGGTCTGACGTATTGTTGTTTTCTTTCGATATAATATTAACATCGGACAAAAATGCATATTGTTAACTTCTTTAAAGAGCTATAAGCATAGACAGACCAATACTTTGTTACGACACTATTATTTTAACGCTTTTTCTCACGATTAACACATTGTTTATTTTAAGAATGGAATTTAATAAAAACGTTTCTGCTACTATCTGCATTGGTGGTACCTAGCCACTAACAACATGTGCATTTATTAATTTTCCTTAGCCGCCCGACAAACGTAAACTGTATAAGAAGAAGAAGACTAGCTGTACCCGTCCGCGTCGCTGGTCATTTAAAATTAACATTATTATTTCTCACCCCCACAAAGATTCTCATCATGAACACCCCCGCAACTGGTGTAGGGAGTCCAACACTCACATAAATATTAGTCTATCCATTAAGTACAATGACATGTATTTTCTATATGGTGGTTTATTTTGTTTACTGGTGGTAGGACCACTTGTGAGTCCGCGCGGATAGGTACTACCGCCCTGCCTATTTCTGCCGTGAAGCAGTAATGCGTTTCGGTTTGAAGGGTGGGGCAGCCGTTGTAACTATACTGAGACTTTAGAACTTATATCTCAAGGTGGGTGGCGCGTCTACGTTGTAGATGTCTATGGGCTCCAGTAATCACTTAACACCAGGTGGGCTGTGAGAGCTCGTCTACTCATCTAAGCAATAAAAAAAAATAAAAAAAATATGGATACCAAGTTTCAAGTCAATCGGATGCCCGGTTCAGTATTTATAACGAAACATCCGTAAAAACCACTGTAGATTTATATATTAGTATAGATTATTAAATTTTTTTCCGCTAACTATTCTTTGGTAGATTAAGGGGCTATTCCAACTAGGCGCGGGTGGGTAGGTGAGCTCGCGCCCTCAACCTGTGAGAATTTGAATTTGCTAACACTAGCCTTAGCAAGAGCAGCGCTTCGCAGAATCTATCACCGAATCGGAATCGCGACCCACTGAGAAGATCTGGCGATATCATTTTTTTTGCTTAGGTGGGTGGACGAGCTCACAGCCCACCTGGTGTTAAGTAGTTACTGGAGCCCATAGACATCTACGACGTAAATGTGCCACCCACCTGAGATATCAGTTCTAAGGTCTCAAGTGTAGTTACAACGGCTGTCCCGACCTTCAAACCGAAACGAATTACTGCTTCACGGCAGAAATAGGCAGGGTGGTGGTACCTACCCGCGCGGACTCACAAGAGGTCCTACCACCAATAATTACACAAATTATAATTTTGCGGATTTGATTTTTATTACACGATGTTATTCCTTCACCGTAGAAGTCAATCGTGAACATTTTTTGAGATTTTCGTATTTCATTAGAAAAATTGGTACCCGCCTGGGATTCGAACACCGATGCATCGCTCAACACGAATACAGCGGACGTCTTTATCCTTTAGGCCACGACGACTTCAAAACTCAGTGGGCTGTGTCTATGTGTCTGTGTGCATAAATCGTAAAAAAATACGTTTTAAAATTCCAACACAATTGAGTATAGAATAAAGCGAAAATTTAAGTCGAACGCGTAAAGTATTTAGATTGTTTTTCCGTTGGGTATTGAGACCACGGAAATATTATGAAAACTTATAAATTAACATATTGTTATGTCGGCGAGTGGAATGCCATATATCACCGAATAGCCGAACGAATATCGAAGGTACTAGTAAAACAGAGAAGTACAACGCCATCTATTGTCAAATAGCAGAAACACACTTCGAAGCTCGACTTGCCCAGAATGTACTCGATAAATCTAGGGATGTCGTATCTATACTAATATATAAATCTACAGTGGTTTTATACGGATGTTCCGTTATAACTACTGAACCATGCATCCGATTAACTTGAAACTTAGTATCCATGTAGAAAATACACGTACTTAATGGATAGGCTAATATTTATATGAGTGTTAGACTCTCTAAGCCAGTTGCGGGGGCGTTAATGATGAGAATCTTGGTGGGGGTGAGAAATAATAATGTTAATTTTAAATGCCCAGCGAAGCGGTCGGGAACATCTATCGACTATAAAAGCGTTGCAGAGATAGCACGCATGTTCCGTTCTAAGTGATAAATACAGTTTTAAGTTGTACTTTGGTGGAACATTTATTTATCCCAAACCCCAGCGCGTAACAATATGTTCTAACAGGATGTCGAGGCAGATCGGGTTTATGTATTCTAATTACGCAATGAGCAGCCGAAAACACAATTAGTCTAGTCGACAAGTTAAAAATTGTGTTAATTCGACATACTACTGCTAAAATTATGTGGTTTAGCTCATTCGATTCGAAAAAAATATTTTTTTTCTAAAAATCATAATTGTCAGTTCTATATAAAATTGTAAAAAAAAATTTTTCAAAAATATATAAATAGTCCATTTGTTAACAAAATGTTTATAAACAAATGGATAAAAAAATTCTTTTTTCAATTAAAAGATGTCTTTTATTGACATAAAAACGAAAATATAATAATAAATAACGAAAAAAAATTTCTTTACAACATAATTGTGCTTTTTCTTTTTTGTTTACTTAAAAAAAATATTATTAACAAAATATTAACAATTTCATAACTTAGACGACGCAATCTTGTTTAATATATTTATAAGAAGAGGTCCACGAGGCGAAATAATTTTAAGGTAATTATTTAAAAAAAATTTTTAGTTTAGAAGGATGATGGAAATTGGAATTTTTTTTCGTAATTAACAATCGTCTAGAACAGTCTTTCTCAAAGTGGGCGATAACGCCCCCTGGGGGGCGTTTGAAACCTAGAGGGGGGCGTTAAGGGGCCCACGAAAAAATGGGGGGCGTTGATGTGGGTTAGGGGGGCGCTGTAAAATTTGTAATTTCATTTACTTTATAGTATTTAAAATTTTACTAAAATTAAAACTCACCTACTACACAATAAAGAATAATTAGTTTATATTTCTACCCTGTATGATGTTATAAAAACTTAAAATAATTAACATAAATAGATTTCGTAGGATAGCCCACACACCGTACGCAATCAAGTTGTAACAAGTTTCTGCAGAACATGATCGATGATAGAGCAATTTTACCTTAATTACATTGCACCAGAAATTATTTTAAAGATTAGAAAAAAACTACCATGCAGAGTTTTAAAATATTACACATACGTAAACTAACACAAATTGAGGTTTTCTTTACTTTCTTTCTTGTTTCTAACTTAAGGGCATTTTAAAGCATTTTCCTAGCATTTTATAAGAAATTACTGATGTGAGAATCATAATTTTTATATAAAATGGAAATACGTATATAATTATTGTTCAAAAACTTGTCTTAGATTATTATTTTTTACAATTTACCCATTACCGTCCAATGTCAAATAGTATAGTATAGTAAGCCTAAACAGCTGACTTATTGTAAACATTGTACTATTTTATTTCTATATAAGAATAGGTTGGGGAAAAAGTTTATTCGCATTTTTTAAGAAAATTCACAACATTTTTTAATATAGTTTATTCACATTTAACTAAAGTATGTCGGTATCATTTTGTTCGATAGCTTTTTGCCATCTTTTAGGTAGGGACATGATCCCATTGCTATAGAAATTTTGGGGCTTCTGATCAAAATACCGCGACAATTGGTTTTGGCAGTCCTCTCGTGATGCTAACCTGACACTGCCTAAAGAATTCTGAAGAGACCGAAACAGGTAGAAATCTGAAGGTTCAAGGTCAGAACTATACGGCGGATGCATTAACACCTCCCAGCCAAGCTCTCTTAATTTTTGCTGAGTGGCTAAAGATGTGTGAGGTCTAGCGTTATCGTGATGAAAAACCACACCCCTTCTGTTGATTAATTCCGGCCGCTTTCTCTCAACTTCTTGCTTTAATCTCATCAGTTGTTCGCAGTAGAGTTCAGAATCGATGGTTCTGCCTGGNTAGTTTACGGACAATAAGCAATAAACGAAACGCTATTTTTTGAAGGTGTTTAATTGTTAATAACTTTTGGAATTTTTTATGTGCTAATTCAATTTTTTAGCACAATGGTCTAGACATTATTCCGAATCGAATGAGCTAAACCACATAATTTTAGCAGTAGTATGTCGAATTAACACCATTTTTAACTTGTCGACTAGACTAAATTATCCACAGACCTTTGTATGTGTGTAAATAAATACTTTCAGTTCTAATTCAACGTTTGAAATATATTTCGCAATACGGCATGTTAATGATTTGTATACACATACATAAAAAAAAAACTACAAACTATTGCATATGAAACACATTCTGATTTAATTCTAACATACATTAACTGCACGAAATATAATTTAAACAGTTTCACAAATAAGTATCGCCTAATATTAAACATTTCGCAAGTAATCTCTCTATGTTTTGGGTTTGCATCATATCTGATCATCATCGTGGCCTAAAGGATAAGACGTCCGGTGCATTCGTATGTAGCGATGCACCGATGTTCGAATCCCGCAGGCGGGTACCAATTTTTCTAATGAAATACACATACTTAGCAAATGTTCACGATTGACTTCCACGGTGAAGGAATAACGTCGCGTAATAAAAACCAAACCCGCAAAATTATAATTTGCGTAATCACTGGTGGTAGGACCTCTTGGGAGTCCGCACGGGTAGGTATCACCACCCCGCCTATTTCCGCCGCGAAGCAGTAATGCGTTTCGTTTCGAAGGGTGGGGTAGCCGTTGTAACTATACTGAGACCTTAGAACTTATATCTCGAGGTGGGTGGCGCATTTACGTTGTAGATGGCCATGGGCTCCAGTAACCACTTAACACCAGGTGGGCTGTGAGCTCGTCCATCCATCTAAGCAATAAAAATATATATATATCACATTAGGTTTCGTACAATATCGTTTGTCTTGCTTCGCGCCCTTCTGTTTTACTTCAATGTTCGGTTTGGAGTTGTTCTGGTGGCCCGGAGGTTTTTCCAGCTTAGACGAGTGGGGCGCTTGAAAGCTCAACCGGGGCGGGGTCTTATCAACGAGGATGTCAGTGTGTCCGAGGGAAGTCCAATAGCTTAAAGATGGTTTGTGAGAATACATATCTGTTATCTGGAAATTACGACCGGCGAAAACGTCCGGCAAAATTCCGGTTAATAGTATGAACTAAGTCTCTCGTTCTTCCACAACTAAGGGGACCTCTAAGGGGATCCCAACGTTTTCACGAAAGAGTAACTAATAAAAAAGCGTTTTCAAGGACAATTCGTTCAATCGCAATTATTCGCTCTTTCGTTTTTTCCCTACCTATTCTAGTAACCTCTAGGGGTTATACTAGATTCTTCGGGCGAGTAGATGAGCTCACGGGGCTCTAACCTGACGACGTTGCTAACACTAGCCCTAGCAAGGGCAGTGCTTCGCAGAGTCTACCACCGGATTGGAAACTCGACTGAGAAGATCTGGCGAGAAACTCAATGGGCATTTTTTTTATTGCTTAGTAGGGTGGACGAGCTCACAGCCCACCTGGTGTTAAGTGGTTACTGGAGCCCATAGACATCTACAATGAAAATGCGCCACCCACCTTGAAATATAAGTTCTAAGGTTTCAAGTATAGTTACAACGGCTGCCCCACCCCCTTCAAACCGAAACGCATTACTGCTTCACGGCAGAAATAGGCGGGGTGGTGGTACCTACCCGCGCGGACTCACAAGAGGTCCTACCACCAGTAATTACGCAAATTATAATATTGCGGGTTTGATTTTTATTACACGATGTTATTCCTTCACCGTGGAAGGCAATCGTGAACATTTGTTGAGTACGTATTTCCTTAGAAAAATTGGTACCCGCCTGAGATTCGAACACCGGTGCATCGCTCAACACGAATGCACCGGACGTCTTATCGCTTAGGCCACCACGGCTTCCTAACTTTTATACCCTTATGGGCATCAGCAATGCAGGGATACAGCCAAGCTGCTGTCCACCACTAAGTACGCCCCGGAAGCTTTGTTTGAAGAAATAAATTATCGGCTGCACATGTTCGGGTCACAAAACTAAGGTTGAACTAATTTCATTGAAATACAAATGCATTAATTAATTATATCAAACGATAACCGTTCTGATATACGTCAATCAATTTGTTGTTTATCAATATTCAAATCATATAAAGCTTAGGATACATTTAGAGCATCTTTTATTTATTTTTATCGGTGGTGTATGAGCAAATGCGATAACTAATTATGTGTATAATCAAAGTGATGTTTCATGTTTCATTGGAAATATTGGAATTTCTAAAATTACCCTTATTTAACTATAGAAGTTAATATAATCGATATATTTCAACGTTTTTGCCGCTCTGCAGTCAAAGGTGTTTTAGCATTGCTAATGTCCATGGGCGACGAAAACCACCCGGCCAAATGTCTCGTTGGGTGTCTGAATTTCATAACCCTGTAAAATAATTATGAAAAATCTCTGCAATGATAAATTCCGCATATTATTAGCGTTGTTGAAGTTAATTATTCGTAATGATGTATGTAACATATCAGAGGCTTTCATAATTGTAGCATTGAAACTGTTTGCTTACAAGCCTAACGTGAATCGAAAATAAGAATCACCACCATCATCATATTTTGAAATGAAAATTACTTAGTTATGTAAGGTTTGTTGTAAAATAATTAAATTTGTTAATGTTAAGACAATTTTCGGATTGTCAAATAGAAACACTGTTGGTGGGAGCAATTACAGTAGTGGGGACGTGACATAATAAAAAAGGCGGTAGTCTGAAAAAACGGGACAGATATCAGTGTATTGGGTAGTGAGTAGATGTCTAAAGATTGTAAAAGTGGAGTTACAAATAAAGGAATACAGATTTAAGTAAGCTACTGCAATCTGTGTATTATTTCCTGACTGGTGGAAGTGGAGTTTTACAGTTATTTTAAGTTAAATAAGTAATCATATTTCCTCTCGGTGTACATTCAACTTCGTTCCCATTACATTTCCCATAAATGAGTACCATTCCAATCTCAAACCATTTGTAGTGAAAATGTCCTCGTATATATTAACATTTTGCGTGTTATTTATTGTAAATTTTACTTGGTGTTTTCGTTTAGGTAAGTTTTAAAATTGTTCACTACAATAAAAGACTTACAAGACAAGATTGTAGTTCTTTTTTATATTAAAGCTCACGTTAGGACATGGTTCTCTTGGTTACAAGTAATTACTGAAATCCTAGACATTACAATGTGAATATCACCACCGAACGCAAAGCCCCTTCAGTAGTAGCAGAACTGGACCGGATCGTCCGGTGGCCTAAATGATGGATAAAGTCGTCGTGGCCTAAAGGATAGGACGTCTGGTGCATTCCCATCTAGCGATGCACCGGTGTTCGAATCCCGCAGGCGGGTACCAATTTTTCCAATGAAATACGTAATTAACAAATGATCACGATTGACTTCCACGATGAAGGAATAACACACGTATAATAAAAATCAAACCGGCAAAATTATGATTTGCATAATTACTGGTGGTAGGACCTCTCGTGAGTCCGCATAGGTACCACCACTCTGCCTATTTCTGTCGTAAAGCAGTAATGCGTTTCGGTTTGAAGGGTGGAGCAGCCGTTATACTATAAAAATTGAGACCTAAGAACTCATGTCTCGAGGTGGGTGGCGGTATTTACGTTGTAGATGTCTATGGGCTCCGGTAACCACTTAACACCAAGTCGGCCATGAACTCATCAAGTCACCCAAGTAACAAAAAGAAACGCGACGCTGTGACGTATCCTTCCTTAAACATGCCTTAAAGACTTCCGAACGAAAAGAAATAGCCCATAGCAATTTTTAATTAGTACGGTTTGCACTGCAATCCCAGAAAACAAAGACAGAGATACAAGAGAACACAAAATAAAATGGCCCACGGAATTTTATCTGAAAGGAGAGGAAATAAAAATGAAGGACTCTACTCTCGAAAAGCCATTTGAAATGTGGTACGTACCCATTTCATTTGTATGCTAACATAGTATTTATAACTAGGAGTTATTAAAGTAAAGTAAATAAGTAAATAATAAATAATAAATATTTACTAACAGTCACGCCACGTTAACCGGCCCCGTGATAAGTTCGTAAAGAACTTGCGTTACAGGTACCAGATAACGGATGTAAATGTAAGATTTTTATTATACACATACATATATTTAATATACATCCATAACCCTGGAAAATACATTTATATTTATCATACAAATATCTTCCCTTGGCGGGATTCGAACCCGCGACCCCCTTGTGTAGTGACCATGTCACTTACCACTACACCAGACGGCCGTTAAGTTATTGCTACTTAACTTGTCTTACAATTGTTGAATGAGATCCGAACGAGGCGTAATAGACCTCTTTTTTTTCCTACCTAAGCTGATAGCCTGGAGAGGCTATTTCAGCGTAACCTTAACTAGTAGGTGAGCTCACGGGGCTCAAACCTGACGACGTTGCTAACACGAACCCTAGGAAGAGTCATGCTTCGCAGAATCTACTACCGGATCGGAAACGCGATCTACTGAGAAGATCCGGCTAGAAACTCAGTGGGCTGTATCTCTGGATTAATTTACTCGTCGAGCCCTTCGTCGCAAGCGACGGGTTCGACGAGAACGTTGACCGGTGCTTGAGGTACCTAAAAGCACCGTTAGAAAGACCTCGATTGACACTTAACACATTGACTGCCATTTAGGTCACCGGTGCCCTACGCGGCGCACTGAAGTAATCATGTCGATTTCTGTTACTAAGCATCTGGATTGCCTGACTTTGCCTTCTTTAGTTTTTAAGGTATGTTTCAGGCTTCTAGGTCTCTTGGAAATAGTTTTATTCTCAGTATCTTCGGGTTTTTCTTTCCCAGAGTCTGCTAGATATTCCTGTACTTAAGTAACAACAGAAATCGACTTAATTACTTCAATGCGTCACGTAGTGCATTAATGTCCTACATGGAAGTCAAAGGGTTAAGGTCCTAAAAAGTACTCCACCTTAAGCGGCGACACAGCCATGTCCACTGATTTTGCAATTATGTCGCACCTCCCGCCATCGGAGCAGAGTTCATCCATATTACTTGGAATGCGTTCATCGACAGTGCGTTCCCAGAAGTCTTTTTTGCCACGTACCATCCGGCTATGGAATGAGCTCCTCTCCACGGTGTTTCCCGAGCGCTATGACATGTCCTTCTTCAAAAGAGGCTTGTGGAGAGTATTATGCGGTAGGAAGCGGCTTGACTCTGCCTCTGGCATTGCTGAAGTCCATGGGCGACCGTAATCACCTACCTTCAGGAGGGCCGTATGCTCGTCTGCGTACAAGGGCAATAACGTTTTAAGTAATTTATTGTAAGTATTAAAAATGTATTAACTTAGAAAAATGAGGGTAGATCCTAAGCGCTTGTTTTTGCACAGGTACAGCGCTAGTTTGAAACGCTCAAGAGTTGATCACGGCGCTGAAAAGAGATATTACTACGCACCTACAGATGAGAACGACGGAACCATGTATTTGGTCAGTTTCCTAGGACAAATATTCTATTTCGCGACGAAGGTTTGGCCTTGATTGAGTAGTGACATGTTAGAGACAGGCAGGATATCCCTATGCAGCATGATAAGAGGGTATTCTGCGCCGACCCCAACTAATGTAGGATAAGGGCAGGAAGAACCAGAAGAAGATAGGCAGTAGAAGAAAAGAAGGTGAAGAAAGAAGATGTTGTTTTATTGTAGAAGTTTTTTCCTTTTTTTTTCTACCTAAGCTGAGAGCCTTGAGAGGCTATTTCAGTAACCTTAATTAGTAGGTGAGCTCACGGGGCTCAAACCTGACGACGTTGCTAACACGAACCCTAGCAAGAGCCGTGCTTCGCAGAATCTACCACTGGATAAAGAAAATCACGTCGCTTGAAACGAGCTCACACCAGAAGTCTTATTCACGACGATATCTTAATTTTTTTATTGCCCTTGTAGGCAGACGAGTATACAGCCCTCCTGAAGGTGGGTGGTTACGGTCGCCCATGGACTTTAGCAATGCCAGTGGCAGAGCCAAGGCGCTGCCTACCGTTAAATCCTGTATCTCGTGGTGGGAAGAGGCGTTAAATGTGTTTTGTCATGGTCAATGAACCCTGGGCGTTCCTTCCCCCAATCTTAATGTCCGGTTGACATTGTAGATACATCCCGTAACAATTGATCATGATTTAACAACCGGCTTGAGTTGTTCGGAAGATGTTTACGACAAAAGAGGAGCCTTGTTGTTACCTAGACTTGGAAAACTTCAGCACGTCGGTAAGTTCAGTAGCAGTAATGGAGATGTGCATTTACCTATTTCCTTGGAACGACTTTGTAGAACTAATGTTTATTGGTATCATGTATTTTACTAGTGGTAGGACCTCTTGTGAGTCCGCGCGGGTGGGTACCACCGCCCTGCCTATTTCGGCCGTGAAGCAGTAATGCGTTTCGGTTTGAAGGGTGGGGCAGCCGTTGTAACTATAGAGACCTTAGAACTTATATCTCAAGGTGGGTGGCGCATTTATGTTGTGGATGTCTATGGGCTCCAGTAACAACTTAACACCAGGTGGACTGTGAGCTCGTCCACCCAGTTAAGCAATAAATAAAAAAGGTCATTAGCAGTAATGAAGATATTATTATGCATTTACCTATTTCCTTGGAACGGCTTTGTAGAACTAGTGCTTATTGGTATCATGCTATCTATTAGTTTGGAATTAAGGACAAAGGGAAGATCTTCCCACCGAGCTGATGAATTTTCTCGGTACACATTCCTAATATGATAGTCCAGAATTTGCGTGTATGAAAACCTCTATTGAGAATGTCGTTAGCGCGATTCAGGCATTTGTCGGATATCAGAAAATATTCGACGACTTCGAGTGAGAATTAGCAATATTGCGCATATCTTCTTCTGAGTAGGTCTCTTCATTGCTGAAGGTCGTGTCTAATTTGAAATGTTGATCGCTCGATGCACAATGCTTCCCCACGTCTTCCTGTCCTTATTGGTCGGTGAGCGTCTTTACTAGATCAGACCAGTGGGTAGGTGAGCGTCCGCGTGATCTTCTCCCGTCAACCCGACTAACTACCATCAGCTTCTCTAAGTTATCGGGGCCTCTACAAGCGATGTGACCGAATGAGAATACGTTGGAAGCAGAATTAAGCAGATAGTGGACACCCTGGGACCATTGCATGAATAGTTTATATAATTATTATTTTTATTGCTTAGATGGGTGGCCGGCTCACAGCCCACCCGGTGTTAAGTGGTTACTGGAGCCCATAGACATCTATAACGTAAATGCGCAATCCACCTTGAGATATAAGTTCTAAAATCTCAGTATAGTTACAACGGCTGCCCCACCCTTTAGACCGAAACGCATTACTGCTTCACGGCAGAAATAGGCAGGGTGGTGGTACGTACCCACGCGGACTCACAAGAGGTCCTACCGCCAGTATATTTGTTTTGTCCTAATCAAATTTCGTTTTAAATTTTCCAGGGAATAAAACGATTGATGATCACGTCGTAGAAATACTGCGATCGTCTAAGACGATCAAGGATATGAAAATGAACATCGAGGCGTTGGTGTACTGGCAGGATGGATACCACATTCCAGTACGGTTGGTACTTTGCTAGATATTGCCTTAGTAACGGGAACGAGTGGGCTTATATTTAAAAAAGACCAACTCATTCCATCTTGACTTAAGTTCTGAGGAAACACATTAAAAACAGTCTTCAACAAACAACAGCATTCTGCCAGGGTCGCCATGTGGTGTGGCCTTTGTGCTTAGTGAGAGTTTTTTAACGTTCTCGATAGCGTGAAAGTTAGCTCATATTTGTATGGAATGGGATCGTTTGCCTATGTTTGCCGCTAGGGGCGCTGTTGCAATTGCATACAAAATTAGGTTAACTTTTACGCTATCGAGAACGTTAAAAAACTCGCACTAAGCACACAGGCCACGATGGATTAGAAGAGTTGAAATAATACGTTCTTTCAGTTTGAAGGTCCGGTTTATTGTGTAAAAAGGTGTATATAGTTACAAGACAGTAAGACAGTAGTGCTGACCCGAGTAAAAATGAAATTATAATTTTCTGACAAAAAAAAATTATTTCAAGTCTATCGCCGAACCACCGCTGCACGGTGTCCGCACCACAACGCTGAACCACCGCCGCACCACCGCCATTTGGCGGAAAATTCCGCCGCACGCTTCGAAAGAAATCTCCCAGCACCGCCGCACCACAGCCGAAGCATAGCCGAACGTTTCAAATTTTTTTTATTTTAGATCGCCGCACCACACCTGAATCACCGCTGCACACTAATAAAAAATAAAGGCTAATTTATCGATCCTGCAATGATAATTAATTAGTTTTTAATCAAACAACTCCTGAATAATTATTTTTATATTAATGAACTACAGTGGAGGCTACAATTTTATTACAGTGATGTAAAAGAAGTATTATTATTCTTCTGATTTTGCTCATTGCATGCAATTAAAATTTTGCAAGCACTTAAATTAATAAACACTGGACGTAAAAAACGTTTACATTCACACACACACACATGTATGTATATGAGAATGATATGTCACTGCTGTAGTTCAGTGGTGGTGCGGCGGTAGTGCAGCAAACCCACTCTTATTAAACAGTCGCGGCTATGGTGCGGAGGTGCTTCGGCGACCATAAAAAAATTCAAATCGTCACAGTCATAGTGCGGCGGCGCTTCGGCGATTAAAATGCCGTGCGGCGGTGCTTCGGCGGTGATTCGGCTAAATTCTGTTTTTACTCGGGGACAAAGCACTTGAAATAAGACTGCTTACATACTTGAATGGTTACACACTACAAAGTCAATAAACTTTTTTTTTAAGCCCATTAAAAAGGAATATGTACGTGTACACATTCAACATCATATAATTTCGGAGATCACGCGATTAGTGAGTTTTATTACGGTCGTATCTATCTAGGTTAACCTGAGATTAATCCGTATTTAATTTAAGAGGCCAGATCTTGCGTCAGCGAAGATTTGTCTAATACAGATTTCTTTACGTGAATTCTAATTATGTTTTACGTTTTAAAGAATAACGATACAGCAATACACGAACTCAAGAGGAAGTTTGGATAGCGTGACGATCAGTAACTACTACAATTTCAAATCTAAAGTTGATCCAAGCGATCTGGATGTTGAAAACGGTAATGCAATCCAATATAATATTGTCGTTGTTTAAGGTACCTTGATTTCTTTTTTTTATTGCTTAGATGGGTGGACGAGCTCACAGCCCACCTGGTGTTAAGTGGTTACTGGAGCCCATAGACATCTACAACGTAAATGCACCACCCACCTTGAGATATAAGTTCTAAGGTCTCAAGTATAGTTACAAAGGCTGTCCCACCCTTCAAACCGAAACGCATTACTGCTTCACGGCAGAAATAGGCAGGGTGTTGGTACCTACCCGCGCGGACTCACAAGAGGTCCTACCACCAGTAAATAGATGATAGTGATGATAATGAGTGATAGAAGGTTTAGTCGTAGAACCTTCTTTTTTTATGAAGGAAGGATTACTGGTAGCCCGGAGGACTTTCCAGTTTCATCAAGACAAATGGGCGAGCAAAGGCTCAGCCAGGAGTGGTGCTATCAGTGTGGGGTTTGCTAACAGTTCGCTGTCCTGTCTAGTTATCCTGAAAAGCACCCCACGCTTTTTTTTACAATAAAATATTTATTTCTTACACTACTTTTAATGGAAATTTATAAAAAAAAAACAATTTTTTAGTTGGATTTTCTATACAAGCGTATTTTTTTAGTTTTTTTTTTAAACTATTACTTGTTTTTCATTTTTTAGTTGATTTTTTATTTTTTTTATTTCATCTGAATCAGTCGGTAACTTATCCGAGAAATAGGTAATCGGCGCGCCTGGTAGTCTCCCTTCTTGGTCTTGACGCAGACACTCCGGGTCTCAGGAAAACGAAAAATCGCCAATCCTGATTATCCCACTGTGCCCCAGCGATTCTCAAACTTTAACCGACTTTACAGACTACCAATTATTTTTTTTGTACGTTTCTCAACCGTAATCTCATTATTTTTGTTTTGTTTCTTCGGGACATGCATTTAATTATAAACACCTATTGACAAACAGGTTTACAAAACGAACACAAAGTACCGAGCAGGTACACCACAATTCGTGTTTCTCGCAACAACAAACACGGAATCTTACGGTTAATATCAACGTAAATGATAGACTGCGACGTCCGTGAAGCAAGAGCTCTTTTACTGATGTGCACACATTACTATCGTGACGCAATTAGTTAGATGCAATTGGTTTCAAGCGGTACTGTTTAGTGGTCGAGCGTGATATGTGCCTGCATGGGTAGGTACCATCGCTCCATCTGGTGGAATAGCCGGTTTTTAATATAAAACTGAAACTTGAGAACTAATGTGACATTTGAGGCCGTTAGCGCAAAAGCGGTCTAGCCCATAATTTTTTTATATTCAAGCATAAATGTGTATTGGAATTTATTTAAAATATAATAAATGTTGATGCAAAACCGGCCTATCCATAGTTTCATCCATACATAACAGATGGCCTTGTAAACATTATTTTTGCGTGTATTGATTTTTTACCTACCCAAATTAAAATTCTTGAAAACTTAAACCTCATTGTTCCATACTAATTATAGACTATGGTAAGCTTAGGCCACTTTTGCGCTGACGGCCTCATTTATCGAGTTCTTGCTCATTCAGTAGTCTCAATCCTTTGACTGCCATGTAGGTCACTGGTGCCCTGTTTTTTCAGGCCGGTGGCAGCACCTCCTACGGGTATGTGGGAGTTGACAGTCTGCAGATGTTGTGAGCAGACCGCGGGCCCAAGGATGATTTTAGGGCCCTACTCACCAAACGACTCCCCTTGCACTCTCTCACGGACGTCCGATTCCCGGGTCAGAACTTAGGCAGAGTAGGGGGGTTACCGCGGTCAACACTCTCCGGGAAAGACGAATCCGAAGATATTGAAAATGAATCTATTTTTAAGAGACCTAAAATATTAAAACATATATGAGAGCAAACAAAAGAAAGCAAAGTTAGGTAATCCAGGCGCCTTAGTAATAGAACTCATCATAGTTACTTCAGTGCGCCGCGTAGGGCACTTGTGACCTATATGGCAACGACTAGTACTGAATGCCACTTTAGTTTTGAAGTTAAATAATGTTGGTTACAGAGGAAGCTGATTGTAGTAATGCAACTGCTATAGAAGGAAGGTCAAATTACTGGGACCTCAACTATAATAGGACAAGAGACTTGGCTTTCAAGCGGTAAGATCCACTAGAGCTTGCTGGATTTCACTTTACTTTCTTAAGGCATGAGATTGAAGGCTTAATAGTATTGTATCACGAATAGCTTATCGTCAAAACTGACACACATAGATTCGCATGAGAAACAGACAGTGTAGTGGGCTCACAACTCGCTTACTACCAGTAAAAGCCGGTTGATGTTCGCAGTATACTACTGGCATACTAGAGAGCGCTGCTGTCCAATCTCCGGTGAACCTAGTCGGCTATTACGACAGCCATGGAAAGACCTGGGGCGGCCCTGTTCTAGGCGGATACCATACTAACATATGAGGTCATTATCGTTGGAGAACAACTATGAGAAACGTTTAATACGCGATTTTGAAAATACCCAAAGCACATTCATTTTGTTAGTTACATATTCATTTAGGACTAGTTTAGTATGGCCATAAAAAAGAAGTATAAATGTCAGTTATAACCCATGTTTCCAAATTGTAATTGCTTTATTGAAATAAGTCCAGTGACCTTACGTTAAGGCCGAGTGAACAAAGATATTGGAATTGAAACTTTGACCCTGCGTCTGAAGTTTGGCGGCGCCGTCATTTTGATGTCTATGGACTCCGGTAGCCATTTTACAGTAGATTAGCTTTGGAATTTGTCATCTACGACATAGGAAGATCATTAAATTATTTGTCTATTTTATACGATCAGTTTCCAGAATTACCACAACGTGCTCTACGATGTAGGGGAATACGAAATGAGGAAAGCCATATTTCAAGATAATTTGGAGTGAGTATTCGCCATCATAGTTGTGCCATAACGAACGGTAAACTTTTGAAATGGACTGTCTGGTTGACAATTCAGACACATGTTGAGAACCTTGATACCATTGTGTCAAAATTTTCACGCAAATGCCAACGGAAAGGGCCAGTTTTTACACCATTGGAGACTATGTCCTTTGGTAAAATGCATTACTAATGAAACCTTACGTTAAAGTACATAACTCGCGTATTAATAGCATGCAAAACATTTTTGGTGCTTCACAAGGGATCTTTTTAGGAAGCTTAGTGTCGCGCAGCGAGCTATGGAGAGGACTATGCTTGGTATTTCTCTACGAGATCGAATCAGAAATGAGGAAGAATCAAAGTTACTGACATAGCCCGTAGGATTAACAAGCTGAAGTGGCAGTGGGCAGGTCACATAGCGCGAAGATCGGACGGCCGATGGAGCAGAAAGATTCTCGAGTGGAGACCACGTACTGGCAAACGCAGTGTGGGACGGCCACCTACCAGATGGACCGACGACCTGTTGAAAATTGCTGGTTCACGTTGGATGCAGGTGGCAACGGACCAGCCGCACTGGACATCAGTTGGAGAGGCCTATGTTCAGTAATGGGCAGTAGACGGGCTGAGATGATGATGATGAAAACATTAGTGATTAAGTAGAATCCTATAACAGATCCTGTACAAATGAAGGTACATATTGGTTATTAGTTTCTGAAGATGGGCTGGTAGTAGTCGAGAACAAGAGGATTCTATGAATTTGCTCTAGCACTTGCACAGCGTGATCTACAAAAACCTTCAGAGATCCGACTTAACTTACTACCGCTACTGACAGTGTAAGGCTTTCACATTATCGTACCTGAAAATCAACTACAAACACCCCATCCGCGTCACATTTTCAGCAAAATAATCGAGCATAACAAAAAGAACTTATCGTACAAAATGGAAATCAACCAGTTCGCTGATAAAACTGAGGAGGAGCTGAAATATTTGTCCGGGACCTGGATGTCCAGGGACGACCACGTGCCTCTACCCTTTCCTTACACAGAAGCAGAAATTGATGAAATGGTGCAGGCTTTACCAGATGATTTCGACTTGAGACTTGAGGGAGTCATTTCTCCAGTTAAAAGTAAGAAAGTGATATAATTAATCCTTTTTTGATGCTCATGACACAGTCTACAAATTATCGGATACCGTGGACATCACAATACCCAATAAATCCTTAGTATTAAAATCCTCAGTTATGTTTATATATCCAGCTGGACTCCTGATTCAGAATTAAGGATCTGGTGAAATGTTATGTTGCCAGTTTGCAGTGTTGGATCAGTTGGATCATATACTGTCCATCTTGAGGATATAACGGCTGCCTTCACAAAGTAATCGAGATTGCAATGTCACGACTCAAAGATATTTGGACGCAATGGCTGTGGGCTGAGTTATCCAACATCGTTACCATTATCAAAGTATTCAAGAGTAGTAGTAATAAATTATGTATTCACCTTATATCTTGACAATATCTGCTCTAGACCAAGATAATTGCGGCTCATGCTGGGCCTTCTGTTCCGCTGCATCCATCGGTGGCTCTCTGGCGAGGAGAAACGGCGGTCGGGACCTTGCTCTTAGCGAACAATCTCTAATCGACTGCGCTTGGGCGTTAGTATCAGTACAGCAGACTTTAACTCTAGTAGCAGACCAGAATTTTTTTTTAATTTTTTTATTGCTTATTGCATAGGTGGGTGGGACGAGCTCACAGCCCACCTGGTGTTAATTGGTTACTGGAGCCCATAGACATCTACAACGTAAATGCGCCACCCACCTTGAGATATAAGTTCTAAGGTCTCAGTATAGTTACAACGGCTGCCCCATACTTCAAACCGAAACGCATTACTGCTTCACGGCAGAAACAGGCATGGCGGTAGTACCTACCCGTGCGGACTCACATGAGGTTCTACCACCGTAATTACGCAAATTATTATATTGCGGGTTTGATTTTTATTACACGATGTTATTCCCTCACCGTGGAAGTCAATCGTGAACATTTGTTAAGTACGTATTTCATTAGAAAAATCGGTATCCGCCAGCGGGATTCGAACACCCTTGCATCGCTACATACGAATGCACCTTAATAGCCTATAAAGCAGACTTATCCTTTAGACCACGACGACTTCAAATGCCCGAAGAATACGAGCTACCTCTACGCTATTTGGCTTTTAGGTACAATCTGATGGGTTGCGACGGAGGGGCCGTGGATGATGCCATGCAATATGTGATGCAGCACGGCATTCCGGTGGAGAGCGAGTACGGGCCATACATGGCTATTGTATGTTGGAACTTTAATTGTGCTTTTGTTGTACGGTAGTTGTGCTTACTGGTGGTAGGACCTCTTGTGAGTCCGCGCGGGTAGGTACCACCGCCCTGCCTATTTCTGCCGTGAAGCAGTTAATGCGTTTCGGTTTGAAGGGTAAGGCAGCCGTTGTAACTATACTTGAGACCTTAGAACTGATATCTCAAGGTGGGTGGCGCATTTACGTCGTAGATGTCTATGGGCTCCAGTAACCACTTAACACCAGGTGGGCTGTGAGCTCGTCCGCCCAGCTAAGCAATAAAAAAAAAAGTGTGGGACAGCCTTTGTACAGTTTAGACTTTAGCCTCATCACTCAATGGCTCACACATCATTCACATTGCAATGAACACCTAAGAATATTACCACCTAAGAGTATTAGAATAATAAATAATAGTTTAGAAAAACTAACAAAATACGCTTTTATAGAAAATCCAACTAAAAAATAGAAATGAAATTTTAATAAATTTGAATTAAAAATAGTGTAAGAAAAACATGATTTTATTGTAAAAAAGCATGGGGTGCTTTTCAGGATATTATCAAAATAACCCTTCTACTCATATCTGTTCATAAAATATTTATAACTACTGATACATAAATATTTTTTGAACAGATATGAGTAGAAGCGTATTTTGTTACTTTTTTTTTAAACTATTATTTATTTTTCATTTCTTAGTTGAAATTCAATTTTTTATTTTTTTTTTATTATTGTATTGTCATCGGTCCTTAATAAGTATGCCAAATTTCGAGTTAATCCGGCGTTTTTCAGGGGTCAAAATCATGTTCAAAGATTCCATTACATACTAACATTACATACGTCTGCGTCATGATAATCGCCTTATCGTTGCCGCCGCTGACTACTCCCCGAATCCTGATCATGCAGGAGCCAGTCACCGTCGACGCCCTAGACACGTCCTTACGGATCCATCAGATCCAATAACCTTTGCATTAGATGCCTTCAGCTCTAATACTAGGGGCAGGCTTAGGGACCCCGGTAACCGTACTCGTCGAACTCGACAAAGAGGTCGACGTGCAACCTAACCCATGCATCAGCCCGCTGAGTTTCTCGCCGGATCTTCTCAGCGGGTATCAGCGATCTCTCTCCGGTAGTAGTATTCATTCGCGAAACAATTGCTCTTGAGTTGTCAGGTCTCCTTCGGAGGCGCTCGGGCAGTTGTTAGCAAATCCCGCCCCTCTTGGCTGAGCCTTTGCTCGCCCACCTGTCCTGGTGAAACTGGAAAGGCCTTCGGGCCACCAGTAAACTTTCAATCATTAAAAAAAAAAAAAAAATTCATACGTCTGAAGCTAATAACAGCGTATTAAAATAGTAAATTTGCCAAATAAATTCCTATGCCAGAACCCGTTTTGGGGAGATAAGACAGAGTATTCCTTCTCAATCACTTTTTTTAATTGTCTTTCCAGGTAGACGAGCATACGGCCCACTTGATGGTAAGCGGTTACCGTCGCCCATGGACGTCAGTAATAGCAGGGGCAGAGCCAAGCCGCTGCCTACCGTTAAGTACTATGAAATCGAAATCCCTTAAATAATCTAGTTCTAAATATCGCAGAATGGGTATTGCAACCTCAAGAATATGTCGAAGCTGTACATCATCACAGGATACGGTCAAGTGACTCCGAGGAGCCCGAACGCCTTGAAGCTGGCCCTGTACAAGTACGGGCCGGTGGCGGCCGGCGTCCACGTCACTAGCAACATGAAGTTTTACTCGAATGGGATATTTTACGACGTCGACTGGTTGGTGCCAGGGTTTTGTTACCTATTAAGCTATTGCATAGCTTTTATCGCGGGCCTTCAGCGCGGCGACCGAATCATGAAATTCCGTAATAGCTTTACCGCAGCAGTTCCCGAGTGCCACACGTTTTTTTTTTGAAGTGAAACTTTTTTAGAATCGTGATTTCTAACTCGATGAAACGAAAAAAGAAGTCCATAATACAAGCACATCAATGTATAGGATTCAGCCGGCGAGAGAATGAGATAGAACACATTAGACGTTTTCAGTGTGGTGTTTTATTTAATACAGCGCCATCTATGAGATTTTGTAATACTAACGTGCGTATGAAACCTCTTGTAGTGAATTTTAATTTAGGATTATACGTGAAGTTAAAATATCAATTCACAGAGGGCGCTACCTCACACTGTAAAAGATGATTTACTAATGACAAAATTTTACATAGACATTTAGGATAATTGTATTTTAATATTTGAAGGTTTTACTTGTACCACGTGTGAATTGCACACATGTATTTTTTTTTTTAAGATATTTGTTCTAAGATTAGTGTTTGTCTATGGTGTGGTTTTGGCGAAATCCGTAACTAGAACCTTAATAATTTTCAAACTTATAATTTCAATTAATTATAGTCGAATTTCGACTACTCTACCGGTATTACAATTAAAATTATTATTAAACAAATTATTGAAGGTTAAACAATTAAAAAATATTGCAGTGACAACAAACTACAGAACCACTGCGTCACAGTGGTGGGCTATGGCGTCAGGGACGGAGACACGTACTGGATCGTGAAGAACTCCTGGGGGGAAGGGTGGGGGGAAGGGGGATACATCCTGCTGTCAGCAACGAACAACAATTGCTTACTGAATGACATTGCTTACTACTCTGTAATCTAACCAGCGAGTGTAGTTGATATTAGATAATAAATACATTGGGTGTTTTCTTAATGTATATTTTTTGTTGCTTATTTTATTTTTATCTTTAATTGAGGCCGTCAGTGTAAAACTAAGCTTAACATAGTTTGTATGGAGATAATGAGGTATGAATTTAAATTTATATACTTCGTAGCCAAAAATCATTCGCGCAAAAATATTGTTTACAAAGCCATCTGTTATCTATGTGTGAAACTAGGGATAAACCGTTTTTGCATCAAAATTTATTATGTTTCAAATAAATTGCAATATATAAGGAGGAATATGAAAAATTGTGGGTTAGGCTACTTTTTTGGAACCGGTGGTAGAGTTAACGTTGTTATTTATATTTTGACTTTCAACAAGTGTGTCATACTGACATCTAAGTTGAAATAAATAATTTTGAATTTGAATTTGAATTTACGCTGATGGCCTCAATTGGTGTATTGGAACGTCTGTAGGTACCCAATAAAATACCTCCTACCTAATGGACTTCGATTGGGAACGAGGGAAGAAGTTTTCCTTCTTGCTTTTCTGCTGAGATATGTGTAATTTAATAGCACGCCATCTATCCAAGCCACATGGCGTTTTATAAATATCTAAAGTTTCTTTAGTATTAAATGAACCAACATTGTCACTTGAATATTTTCAGATTTTTTTCAGTCCATTTCCAATTATAATTTTATTGGCATAAAGTGATCTTGTGGATAGTCGATTAATCTTAAAATATTTATTTCTTAACTTTATTCTAAGGATCTCAGTAAAATCAGCACAGTGAAGGAATAAATTGTTTGTAAATAGCGCCATCTATTTAATTAAACCCAAAACTAGTTTAGTTTAAAGGTGGCGATTTGGAAAGTCTTAAAGAGTTCAATTTTATTTCAATAAAGAAACAAAATAATAACAATAAAAACATGGTTTAATAGTAAGTTGAAGTAAAAATAAATAAAAACATATTACATTTTTCCGGGTCAAGCTATTAAATCGTGTTAAAAGTAAAACCTTTGGCCTATCTCTGTAACAAAGTATTTTAACGTAATTTTGAAGTTTCAAATCGCCGGAATAACTTGAATATTTGCACACGAATCAAGGATCGTTCAAAACAAAAGAATTTTATTACTTCGCTAAATATCTTAGCTGAGATACTGAATGATTATTGTGTTATTTCGGTCTGCTTTTTTGTTTTGATTCATGGTATAATGGTGTATTTAAGTAAATGTTTAAAAATATTGGCATTAACTAATCTGAGGCAGTATCGTCCACTGAGTTTCTTGCCGGATCTTCCCAGTGGGTCGCGTTTCCGATCCGGTGGTAGATTCTACGAAGCACTGCTCTTGCTAGGGCCAGTGCTAGCAACACTTCGGTTTGAGCCCCGTGAGCTCACCTACGAAGGCGAAGCTCACCTACGAAGTTAGGGCGAAGCTGAAATAGCCTCTCAAGGCTATCAGCATAGGTAGGAAAAAAAAGGCAGTATCACTGGTCTCCAATTACGTTGCAGTGTGCTTATTGTAGTGCTAGCTTAACAGCGCCCCTAGCGGCAAAGGTAGGCAAACATTCCAACTCCATACAAATTTGAGTTAACTTTTACGCTATCGAGAACGTTAAAAAACTCTCACTAAGTACCTACACTGATCACGGCTCTCGATGGTGGGTTGAGCCGTCATTACCATCAAGTCTTATCACACAGCGGGCTTCGGAAGCCTTCCAGTTGCGCTATCCAAAGTTAAGACCGACCTGGCTTCTTCGCGCCGAACGTAGGTTACTGTATCCCGATTGCGGTAATTACAACAAAATTATTTCGAATGTGTTTCCAATAATTTGCGGAGACCCACGCAAATTGTGCGTTTTTATTAGACAATTAAGTTTCATCGCGGACGAAGACGCCTCTAGACAATGAGGCGTCCGATTGCTTTTATCCCCTCCCTATTCGCTGGTAGTCTAAGGGGCTATTCCAGTTACGCGCGAACGGGTGGGTGAGCTCACGGGCTCAACCTGAGAGAATTTGCCAACACTAGCCCTAGCAAGAGCAGTGCTTCGCTAAGTTCTAAGGTCTCAGTATAGTTACAACGGCTGCCCGACCTTTCAAACCGAAACGCGTTACTGTTTCACAGCAGAAATAGGCAGGGCGGTGGTACCTACCCGCGCGAACTCACAAGAGGTCCTACCACCGGTAAAAACATATAAGCCGAGTTTCACATATGAATAGAGTTTATTGAAGTGAAACTTCTTTAAGCGCGTTGAGAATGAAATTTAACTCAGTTTCGTTACGGCTAGAGAGAAAAGGGCCAGACGTTGTAACTATACATAAGACCTTAGAACTTATATCTCAAGGTGGGTGACGCATTTACGTTGTAGATGTCTATGGGCTCCAGTAATTACTGGGATATGAGCTCGTCCACCCATCTAAGCAATAAAAAAAGTGCTTATAGCGCGTATTCGTTGTGTGATGTCGGGTTTCAATCAAGATTTTTCCCAATACATTTTCCAATGGCAGTTTTTGTAACAAAGAGCGTCTAACTGCGTAGCTGTGTGTCGCGAATGTCTCGATTCCCGGGGTGCTACGGGAGGGGCTTTATTCGCAGTGAAGCGCGCGGTGTGAGCGCACGTATCCCATATAAAATGTCCATGTAAATTGTGTGTTGAAATAACAAAATAAAACATGTTGAGGTATTATTTGTTGTTGTCGTTAGTGCTCGCTGTTTCGCTGATGGCCGGTAAGTGTTCCTGCTATTTTTGTATACATATATCTTGTGATAAAAATCGTTTGATCGTGATTTGTCTAATTTGCTTTGATTGTCATATCAAATTTGTTCTTGAATAGAGTTCAAGGTATTGGGATGGTGATTTTAACGTTCTTAAGACAATCGATTGTACCTTGAGGATGCCTCTTCGGGAGGTGATGCGCTTATAAAAGAAAGTTCATCAAACATTGTTGTTTAATTTTGACGTAATATGTTCATTATCAAATTATTCAGGGTACTTTTGTTTTTGTTTTAAACTGATTTCTATGTAAGTGCATTCAATGTAAATGGCAGTGTTTTTTATATTGCTCAGACTGGTGAACGAATTCACCGCCCACCTGGTATTAAGTTGACACGGAAGCCACATGAACAACCCAAATTCCGCCACCTACCTTGAGGTATAAGTTCTAAAGCCTCAGTATAGTTACAACGGCTGCCTCACCCTTCAAACCGAAACGCGTTACTGCTTCACGGCAGAAATAGGTAGGGTGGTGGTACCTACCCGTGCGGACTCAAAAGAGGTTCTACCTATACGTAATTATAAATTTGCGGGTTTGATTTTTATTACACGATGTTATTACTTCACCGTGGAAGTCAATCGTGAATGTTTGTTAAGTACGTATTTCATTAGAAAAATTAGTACCCGCCTGCGGGATTCGAACACCGGTGCATCGCTCGATACGAATGCGCCGGACGTCTTATCCTTTAGGCCACGACGACTTCAAACCACTTCCCTCAGTCGACGTCGCCCTCGCCCTAAACACGTCATGACGGATCCTCCTGATCAATTAACGGTGCTTTTAAGTACCTCAAGCACCGGTCACCGTCCTCGCGAACCCATCGCTTACGAAGGGCTCGACGAGTAAATTAACCCATAGACACAGCCCACTGAGTTTTTCGCCAGATCTTTTCCGCGAGTCGCGTTTTCGATCCGGTGGTAGATTCTGCGAAGTACTGCTCTTGCTAGGGCCAGTGTTAGCAACACACCTGGTTTGAGCACCGTGAGCTCACCTACACGTCAAGGAGAAGCTGAAATAGCCTCTCAAGGCTGTCAGCTTAGGTAGGACTTTTTTTTATTGCTTAGATGGGTGGACGAGCTCACAGCCCACCTGGTGTTAAGTGGTTGCTGGAGCCCATAGACATCCACAACGTAAATGCGCCACCCACCTTGAGATATAAGGTCTAAGGTCTCAATTATATAGTTACAACGGCTGCCCCACCCTTCAAACCGAAACGTATTACTGCTTCACGGCAGATATAGGCAGGGTGGTGGTACCTACCCTCACAAGAGGTCCTAACCACCAGGAAAAAAAATCGATTCCGCTCGCTTCGATAACATGCAATACGCACGGGCTTGTACTCCCAGCACGGGGTTATGACATAACCTAATGGGATACTAGGAATGCAGATTGTTTACTTCACCTACTCGCTATAAGGTGATCGGGTGAGAGCAGATCGCAACTTTAATTGTTTACGTAAGCACGCACGTAACTAGCAAAAGTTCGTTAATTAATCTATTATCTGTCTACTGGACAAAAATCATACATCCCATAATACAAAGAGTTTTTAAACAAATGTTCACGATCGGCATCCACGGTGAAGGAATAACATCGTGTAATAAAAATCAAACCCGCAAAATTATAATTTGCGCAATTACTGGTGTTAGGAGCTCTTGTGAGTCCGCACGGTTAGGTACCACCACCCCGCCTATTTCTGCCGTTGTAACTATACTGAGATCTTATATCTCAAGGTGAGTGGCGCATTTGCGTTGTAAATGTCTATGGGCTCCGGTAACCACTTAACAACAGGTGGGCTGTGAGCTCGTCCACCCATCTAAGCAATAAAACAAAGTCTATACATATTCGCGTACCATCGTCGTGATGTTTGAACTGAATATGGACACGAAAAAAACGAATTGTCATTTAGCTCCGTAGCTGCTATCTTTTTGTAAACGTTGTCTAATACAATTTATAAAAAGAAGAAGAAAAAAGTTACGAAAATCTATATATATATATATATAAAAACGAATTGCTGTTCGTTAGTCTCGCTAAAACTCAAGAACGGCTCGACCGATTTGGCTAATTTTCGTCTTGAATTATTTGTAGAAGTCTAGAGAAGGTTTAAAAGGTAGATAAATATGAAAATTCCTTTTGTTTGTTTTAACTTTATTTTATACAAAAGTTTAGGTCTTTTATTTATCGATTGAGGCACTACGAAGTCTGCCGGGTCAGCTAGCTATACAAACAGCGTTATTTGTTCTATGGAAGAGCTAAAATGTCATGTTTTTATTATCTCGACTTCCACCTGGTGTTAAGTTGCAGTCAGATATGACAATGCGATTTTTGCTACATTAACACAAGACGTAAGCCTAATACAAACATACCCTAGTACAAATTGTTGATTATTATAATCAAAATTTAACTCAGAACTAACCCACACACCCTTTATGTTAACAGCCAGTTTTTTTATTGCTTAGGTTGGTGGACGAGCCTACGGTTCACCTGATGTTAAGTGCGTACCGAAGTCCATAGACATCTACAACGTAAATGCCGCCACCTACCTTGAGATATAAGTTCTAAGGTCTTAAGTATAGTTACAACGGCTGCCTCACCCTACAAACCGAAACGCATTACTGCTTCACGGTAGAAATAGGCAGGGTGGTAGTACCTACCCGTGCGGACTCACAAGAGGTGCTACCACTAGTAAGCCGAGTTTCACATATGTATAGGGTTTATTGAACTGAAACTTCTTTAAGCGCGTTGAGAATATGCTAACGCAATGGTAGGCAGCAGCTTGGCTCTGCCCCTGGCATTGCTGACGTCCATGAGTGACGGTGAACACTTAGCACCAGGTGGGCCGTATGCTCGAGTGGTGGAGTATGAGTTCTAAGCTCTCAGTTTTTACAGTACAACAGCTGCCCCGCCATTCAAACCGAAACGCATTACGGTTACATTATTATTATTTATACATTATATTATTACATTATATTACGCATGCGGACTCACAAGACGTCCTATTACCAGTAACGCAGCTTGTAATTATGATCAATTATAATTTATCTATATATTAATACGTGAAGCAAAATTTTTGTATCCCTTTTTACGAAAATTGCGCGGACGGAGGAGTATGAAATTTTCCACACTTATAGAGAATATAGAGAAAAAGTGCACAATGCTAATTTTTTTTTTAAATAATGCATAAAAGATACATTAAATCGATAAAGAAAACATTACACACACTACATACCATATATTTGACGCACACACGCATGCATACTATTTATTGTCAAACTTTTGTTCTTGACGTCTGTTGTCAAATTGAGAATAGATTCAATATTGTTTGTCTTAGTTAATATTTTTTATAGTGTAGTCTTGGCGAAATTTGTGATTATAGAAGTATAAAATATAATCATAATAGTGTACAAACTTACAATTCCAATTAATTATAGTCGAATTTCGACTACTGCGGGACCTCTAGTATTTTTAAACATATAAAGATACTAGCTGTACTCGCCCGCTTCGCTGGACATTTAAAATTAACATTATTATGTTTTGTCATTATTATTAGGGAGTCCAACACTCATATAGATATTAGCCTATCCTTTAAGTACATGTATTTTCTTCATAGATACCAAGCTTCAAGTCAATCGGATGCACGGTTCAGTAGTTATAACGGAACATCCGTAAATACCACTGTAAATTTATATATTACTATAGATAGATCAATAATGATCGGAAAATTAAATCAAAATGAATTACCTACCAATTAATTTCCAGCCGAATTACACGATAGCAGAGTGCTGACTCATGCCCGAATGAGCGCTTTACCCGTAAAATATATGACCCGGCCCGGACATAAACCATGAGTGCTCGAACCGGATAACCGGAATGATTGACCACTCAAGAGCGACGCGCCGTGCCATATCTGGGCTTTATAAATTCATCATATTATTACTTTTCCCGAGAATAAAATTTCATTTAAGCCATAATGAAAGCTAATTTAACGGATTTATCTCGTATTTTTCTTAATTGTCATCTATATATTAATACGCGAAGCAAAAACTTTGTATCCCTTTTTACGAAAATTGCGCGGACGGAGGAGAATGAAATTTTCCACACTTAAAGAGAACATAGAGAAGAAATGCACAATGCTAATTTTTTTTTTAAATAATGCATAAAAGATACATTAAATCAACAAAGAAAACATTACACACACTACATACCATGTATTTGACGCATACACGCATGCATAATATTTATTGTCAAACTTTTGTTCTTGACGTCTGTTATCAAATTGAGAATAGATTAAATATTGTTTGTCTGTGTTAATATTTTTTATAGTGTAGTCTTGGCGAAATTTGTGATTATAGAAGTATAAAATACAATCATAATAGTGTACAAACTTACAATTCCATTTAATTATAGTCGAATTTCGACTGTGGCGGGACCTCTAGTTATATTAATTCCGACAATTTTTTTTATTGCTCTTGTAGGCAGACGAGCTTACAGCATAAATTTTTTTTTAACGCTGGGGAATCCGATTACGGATACCCGGTCGAAACGGATTTTCACAGACCGGGTTATGTCGGACTCCGGCGCCTCCAGAGAAGAAGAGGGAGAAGAGGAAGACCAAAGCATACGGCCCACCTGATGGTGAGTGGTTACCGTCGCCCGTGGACTTCAGCAATGCCAGGGGCAGAGCCAAGCCATAGACATTTCAAATACTGCACAGTTTTCTTGGTCACGGAAGACGGCAAGATAACAATCGTTTTAATTATGTTTATATAGTTTGAATAATCGCCTACGAAATAGGACAAAATTCTATTTAAGGGTTCTTATAGTAATTTTCATTAATTGAAAGTTCTCAAGGCTCGTCCAACTTCGATTACCAATTGGATACGCAAAAGCTAATAATAATAAACATCCTATCTGGGAACGTAACATTTAATTTTCAATTTTTTATTTGAATAAAAC